AGAGTAGCCTCGATCAAAGTCCGGATATTTTCACCGTACAACGTTTCCTACAGGATGTTTCTAATAATTGGGACTGTTGATTAGAAATATAAAATTATACCTTTTCTATAATGATGGTGGACTGACAAAATAAACCGTCAGTCAACGGAACCCATTTGTTCGCTATTTACATCGAGAGAAGCGAGCGGAAGGAGCGTATAAATTTGAATACTCGTAGCACAGGCATGTGGCCAGTCAGCTGTTTTCACGGATAACATCTCTGTCACCCCATGTAGCGGTGTATTTCTAACAGGAAAAAAAAATATCGAAGGTCGAATTCCACGGATTCGTGCATCCTATTAACGCACTATCGTCCGTGTATCTTACAGGTACTTAACATTTCCTCTTACGCATGTGCGAAATTTTGTACTAGCGGGAAGGCTATCACATCTGAAATAATTTTTGACACAAGTTGGGAAAACCTTTTGAGGAGAGATTTATTAAGAAAAACATTTAACTTGTATTTAATATAGCAAGTACCAGTTTAAGACAATATCTATAAAAATAAAATAATAAAATAGTAGGTAATGAAATTTAATCTAACAACTCCAACTGAACTTTAATGTAACGTAATCTATTTAACATAATGTTTAATCTTACCTAACCTACCAAACTGAACCTTAATTTAATCTAGCCTAATCAACCAACGTTTAATCTAACCTAACCTACCCAACTGAACCTTAATTTAACCTAACCCATCCAATTTAACTTTGATCTAACCTAACCTCCCAAACTGAACCTTAATGTAATCTAACCCAACTTAACTTTAATCTAACCTAACCTACTAGGTAATGACATAATCGAACAATAGAGTAATAGTATAATAAAATAAGAGTAATGTAACAAGACGTATGACTCCATTTGACCTGCACTTTCAATAAAAATTAAAGTCGAACGACGAAAAACAAGACCATCCCTACCAGACAAAGTACACCTAGCAATTGAAGGAAGTTCAATTTCAGAGTCGACTCGAATTGGATCAAAGACGTAGCAAACGAAACGAAAGGGGAATGTTAACAGCATTGTAATACATTTCGGTAACACGGTTGATAGGTTGTTCGCCGTGGAAACGATCCTTTTGCGAAATCGCTCGTGCTCTCGGTTGAACGGGGCGCCCACTGTGGAACAGAATCAGAAATCTATTCCCATCGGTTGAAGTAGGAACGCGCACGCCGTAACGTACATCCGCCTTGGGCTCTTTTGCCGCCTGTGAACTTTGATAGCCGACACGATATTAAATTACAACGGTTGGGAAATCGACACTTTTGCAGAAATTAGAAGGAGTGACGTTCGATTCATCGAACTTTTCTCAGAAGCGGGGAAACACCTGGACATCTTTGCGGCTTTACTCGCCCATCTTGTTGTAATAATAATGCATACTTCTTTCGTCATCTTTGGAGACTCTTTCATAGTCTTTAGTCTTCTTGGAGTATACTGGTGGAGTATACTTCTTAGAGTATGAATTTAAAGATGGATTACAAGGGAACAAGATTTAGGACTTTGCGAATTTGATGTTGTGGGAGTTTCAGAGTTTGAAGTATAACTGGAAGGTCAGATGTTTTTAGAATTTTTAAAGTTCGACATTTTACGTCTTTGAGAATTTGAGATATATTAGATATTAAACATGAATTACAAGAGAAGATATAGAAGTTTGATAATTTGGAATGTTACTATTACTCTATTTTTGCCTAAACATCGCCATAAAGCTAGCCACCCCATAAAACCTTGTAAAGACCTGCTTGAAACAGTTAACGCTTATTTATCTCAAGCAGTAACCGAATCAACTCAATGTTTAATCTAACCTAACCTATCCAAACAAACCTTAATGTAATCTAACCCATCTAATTTAACTTTAATGTAACCTAATCTATACAACATAATGTTTAATCTTACCTAACCTGCCTAACTGAACTTTAATTTAATCTAACCTAATTAACTCAATGTTTAATCTAACCTAACCTACCCAAATAAACCTTAATGTAACCTAACCCATCCAATTTAACTTTGATCTAACCTAACCTCCCAAACTGAACCTTAATGTAATCTAACCCAACTTAACTTTAATCTAACCTAACCTACTAGGTAATGACATAATCGAACAATAGAGTAATAGTATAATAAAATAAGAGTAATGTAACAAGACGTATGACTCCATTTGACCTGCACTTTCAATAAAAATTAAAGTCGAACGACGAAAAACAAGACCATCCCTACCAGACAAAGTACACCTAGCAATTGAAGGAAGTTCAATTTCAGAGTCGACTCGAATTGGATCAAAGACGTAGCAAACGAAACGAAAGGGGAATGTTAACAGCATTGTAATACATTTCGGTAACACGGTTGATAGGTTGTTCGCCGTGGAAACGATCCTTTTGCGAAATCGCTCGTGCTCTCGGTTGAACGGGGCGCCCACTGTGGAACAGAATCAGAAATCTATTCCCATCGGTTGAAGTAGGAACGCGCACGCCGTAACGTACATCCGCCTTGGGCTCTTTTGCCGCCTGTGAACTTTGATAGCCGACACGATATTAAATTACAACGGTTGGGAAATCGACACTTTTGCAGAAATTAGAAGGAGTGACGTTCGATTCATCGAACTTTTCTCAGAAGCGGGGAAACACCTGGACATCTTTGCGGCTTTACTCGCCCATCTTGTTGTAATAATAATGCATACTTCTTTCGTCATCTTTGGAGACTCTTTCATAGTCTTTAGTCTTCTTGGAGTATACTGGTGGAGTATACTTCTTAGAGTATGAATTTAAAGATGGATTACAAGGGAACAAGATTTAGGACTTTGCGAATTTGATGTTGTGGGAGTTTCAGAGTTTGAAGTATAACTGGAAGGTCAGATGTTTTTAGAATTTTTAAAGTTCGACATTTTACGTCTTTGAGAATTTGAGATATATTAGATATTAAACATGAATTACAAGAGAAGATATAGAAGTTTGATAATTTGGAATGTTACTATTACTCTATTTTTGCCTAAACATCGCCATAAAGCTAGCCACCCCATAAAACCTTGTAAAGACCTGCTTGAAACAGTTAACGCTTATTTATCTCAAGCAGAATAAGTGAATACGTGTTCAAAAATTAATTATACGATCGATTTCAGGTTTCACAACAGGTTCGTTACAGATGACTTATTCGATCCACGTTCCTCGAGTTCTCGTTTTCTATCTCCCGTAATCTATCGACTTGCAGTTTCTGAAGATTTTTCAACAACCGTAGCTCGATTGCAGTCGGTTTCTGTTGATTGTCCGTTTGGACGATCGACGGAAGAGAAACTGTTGCAATCGAACAACACGGTAGGTGGGTTTCGCATGCGAAACGACCGCTTTGCGAAATACTGCAACGGTGGCCGCAGACCTCGGAGGCGCCTCGGTGATTCAACGGAAAATTAAGAGTCGTGAAATTAGATTGGGCTTTTTAATACCGGTCTACGAAATAACAGAAATTTGCAAAAAGAAGAGAAACACATTTGACTTCTCGGTAACTTGCACATCGTTGCACAGCGTTTCTTTTTATGATGTGCGAGTATTAAAAAAAGATCCTCAAATTTGTAATACAAGTTTTAAAAGCTTTTAGAGATCGTTTCACTTAACGTTTGGCACGTACCAGCTTCCTATCTTGGCGGAATAAAAACACAGGCACGTGGAGTCTTACATTTAATAAAGGCTAAGCGAGCTATAAACTGCATACCAAATTTTTTATTCTCAGTAACAGATAACGTTCTTTAGAAGCATTTTAAAACGTGTCGCCATATTTGGTCCTAGAGTCCTAGAAGGGAGAACGAAAAAAGAGGTTCTAACACACCCTTGGGGCAGACCCTCAGGGACCAAAAGCACTTTGCTTGATTTCCGTGTGTACCAGTTATCCAACTAGCCGAACATTACGTAAACTGACATTTTCGCGGCTACCTCGAACCGGGCAAACTATACCTGATTACGAGTTCACAAAAACGAATTTTACATTTTTTTTCTCAAAAAGCCTTACATAATTCTGACAGCGAGAGTCGATATGATCGCAATTGTGAAAAATGAATCGGGTTTAAAATTCTCTGTGTTCAGAATTTAGAAACTGCTGAGAGATTGAACATCGAATTCCCATTTTGAATTAATTCGTCATCAAGCCGGAGGGTAAAGCAAAATATTCCTACAACGTTTAGAAGCATAAATATGTATTTCTTTTTTGTTCAATGAAATATTTCCATCGCGAAATTGCATCGCGAGAAATCGTTTCCAAACGGATCAAGGTTCCGTATCGCACGAAATCTCCGAAGGAATTCGTCGGTTACAATATCCTTTTCACTCGACATTTCTTTTTTTGTCAAGGTTCACACCGAATCAAGTGAAATATCACTTGTACGTTATGTAACGCGAACCTATTTGAATACGGGTTCGCTCAGTCGCCGTTCACCGGCTGCGGATCGATTTTCCTCATCGACCTTCGGGCGCGAATTTAAAGACACGCTCCCGCGAACTTCAACATTCGGTAAACGCGTCGATTTTTGTTTACGACGAAAACAACAGAGAAAAAGCAGCAGGAATGCGATATCTACTTGTACGCAACCAACCCAAAAAATCCTATAATGTAATGAAAAAACAACAACCTCGTTGCGCCGAGCTCGTTACATCATTGTACAATGGTAAAAGGAAAGCGAAAGCCGGGATTAACCCTTCTGCACTGACTGTAGGGTCATTTATTTTATTTTACAACGTTTTAATTGTGGCATATACGAAAATTTTATCAGTGTTTTATCGAAAGTTCAAAATAATTTATTGGGTTGCAAATGAGATTCCACCCTATCTTGTAATATAAATAATTACATCTAAAGATAGTGCCTCGATCAAAATTTAGACTCAAGAAAATTTTGTAAATACTAAAATAAATTTAAAAAAAATTGTGGATTGAAATAAGTCAGCAGGGGGTTGAAAAAATAAAATAAATGAGAGTGCACTCACCCACTCTGGACATGACCGCCAGCAGGAGCAACACGCTGCTCACGATGATCATTTTCGTCCCTTGTTGAACTTGAAGATTTAATTAAAAGCTGATACACACGCGCGCGACAAAAAGCTCGGTGTTGTCAAACGAGGTGAAACGTAGCGATGTCGCGAGTGGCGGCTCGA